GTGTTCCTAGAGCAAGCAAATATCCACACGGGGCAACACGGTAGCCCAAAGGAATAAATACTATTTTGTGTGATTATTTCAGTCCAAAATATTGAAAATAATGTGATGTCCAGTTTCACCTCCAAACAGAATTTTTTATACAACATGATACAGAGATTTTGCATTGTGTATGCATGCCTTAGGATGTATCATATGAGTATATGTGCATGGCTGTTTGTTGTTTGAATGTGTAGATGCACCAAAGGAGAACATTGTCTGAATACAGAAAGGCACCAGATACCAGGCATGGGCTTTTCTAAAGAAATAAGACAATATTGCCACATTGAAGGACAGACTGGCCTTCTCCAAGCAGCCATCCTCTCGGATGTCCTCAGTGCCACAGCACATCTCTGTGCAGTGGCCCATGGTCTGGCCTATAATGGCTATGTCTAAACCAATGTGGCTTCTAAAACTTGAGCTGGGGAAGTTTTCTTCTTTTTCAGGTGAAGGTGAAGTGAATTTTGTTGGTAAACTATAATGACATTTCTAAAAGGTATTTTCTATCCCTTGGACTTTTATTAAGGTATACGGTAATGTATTCAAATTGATTGAAATGGATATATGTGAGGTGAAAGCTTTCGACTGACAATGTCTGCTTGAAGGACACTTCACAGGAGGAACCTTGACTTTACCATTGACTCCCCCTCCTCTTCATCCTGCATAGCCCAAGTGTGCCACTCTGCATAGCATATTGTAAATTCTGGCTTTGATTTATTGATAATCTCAGCAGCATAAGGCAGCTGCAAAACCAGTTCACCTGTCCAGTTAAAGTGGTTTTATGGCTGCTGTATATGTCTGAAGATTGGCAAGCCAGCAATGTGTATCACTAAATCAAACTTTATCAGTTTTACCAGGCTTTTTGAGAGAACAAGAAGGATGTTATCGCTTTACTTCTTAACCTTTGGTGTTTTCAAGAGCCTGTTGTCATTCTCAAGTTGTGCTCAAATGCTTAAGGTTTAATGCAGGATTTATTACTCGTCTTTATTGTTTGGGTTCTGGTTTGTGGTTTATTAAAGTCCATACAGTTTGAAACAGCCACCTGTCTATAAATCAAGCTATATAAATAAACCACCTTCTGCCAGAGGAAAATAATATTTAGGGCTTGTCTGCAAGGGAAATTGTTCTGATATGAGTGGGAATGTCTACGGGAAACACAGTGCCTGATGTACCTTCAGTGCTCGAATGAATGCTCCCATTCTGTGCTGAGTGCTTCCTCGTGCTTCAGCTTAGTTTGATTTGGAAGCAGAGTAAGATAAACCATAAAAAAGCACTCAGGGGATATCAAGACTTTTTCCAGACTGACCTTGAGCCAGGGATGTGGAATGGGCAGGGTGCAGAATATATCTCTTCTGTTACAGCTCTGTTGGGTTGTTTCCTCCTGATCTACTGTTTGCACACAATTCATTTCCCAAATACCTGCTCATCCCCAGTTGGTAGCTCTTCGTGATTCTTTCTTGTGAAGCTCTTGATATTTGAATACACAGCACAACCTTGTGCCTTCTTAAATGTCCACAGTCACCAACAGCAGAGAGCTGGAAAGCACAGACAATAAAAATGGCAAGAAATTATACATCTGAATCATCAAGGAGAAATCAGTCAGCTTCAGTCTTTAAAGAATGAATTCAGTTAGCTGCAATAATGCTAATACAGCGTAGACCATAATTTTTTGTTATGTGTCTATAGGACAAGCTTGATCTTGACCAAACCTGAGTGATGTGTGGGTGACATTCTTGGCCATGTGTGATGCTCCCTAAAAATCCCAGTGGGGATGGGTTGCACATGGAAGCTCCTTTATTTACAGTTTAAAAATGACTGCCTTTGGTCCTTGTGTCCTCTCAGGGGTTTACTATCCTCAAGCTACAGACGCCAGAAGCTACCTTTTGAAGGTACCTACCTGTTGAAGAGGCACAAACTCTGTTCCTTCAGGGAGGAGAGCAATAAGTTTGGTCCCTGTAGTATCATCTGTGAGATCCTCTACATCAACTGAACTGGGGTGTGCACAAAAAGCACATTACAGCTGTCAGTGTTCTCTGCTACCAAACCTGGTACCTCTGGTATTTTCAAACTGTACACAGGCAAGTTAACCATGGCTGCAGGGGAAAGATGCATTAAACAGTCATTCAGAAAAACTCTCACAACTGTGCCTGCCATAGTTCTGCTGTGAATGGCACTTTTGCCCTTGGTAAAGGAATGACAAAGAATGGAAACTCCAGCTACAAGCTGAAGTTCATTTCCATTTTTTAAAGCCAGCAATCTGTATTTAGATGCCAGGCTCCAAAAGCTGCTAACAATAAAACAAAGCAGGTGGGGAACTGCTGCCCTTTGTATTTCAGGTGACTTTCGCCTTTTATTTGAAAAGGTTTGCAATTAAACGAAAATATTCCTCTTTCTAATGCTGCTGCCTCTCCTCCCATGCCTTCTGACGTGGCTGAATCATAAGGTCTGTTGTAATTAAAGGCATCTTTTGACTCTGTCGCTACCATTGTTTATTTTATCTCTGCAGCTTACACTAGGCCTTTGAATTAAAAGAAAAAACAGCCCTGCTGTTATCAGTACAGGGCAGAACCAGATGGGAAACTTGTGGTTTTGCTCTGAGTAGTGCTGTGCCTTCATGCAGCTGAAGTGTAATGCTCGGAGGCGTTGGGTGCCTTCAGTATCATTCAGCTCACCCAAAAAAAAGAAAGGAAAGGAACTTCAAAGCATTCCCCATTTTCCTGGAGGTGTTTTGCACCCCAGATTACTCAGCTGTAGCTGGGCAGTGTGGCTCTGGCAGGTGACCTCTCCCTCTGTGCCATCAGTCAGACTGACTCGGGCCTTTTTAGGCAGCAGCTTCCCTGAAGTCACTGAAAGTTTCCATGAGCCCAACCCACCCACGCCATGAGTCTGCATCTCACATACTGGCTTCTCATAGACAAGTTCTAGCATTTAGGGCTTGTGCAGCAGAAACAGAAAGGGCAATACCAGAAGATCTCCACCAGCTTCTGCCCTGGGCAGATAAGAGCAGCACTTTTGTAAACTGGTCCAAGGCACTGCCATGACTCAGTTCAAAGATGTGCAGATAAAATAAGCTACAGTGTTGTTAGGAAAATAAAGGGCAGTGGTGTTAGAAAAATGAAAGAGCTTTGTAGAAGCTCCAGAAGCACCAAAAGAAAGGACTATTTGAAGAGAATAATATTTTAATATTATTATTACTGTTATTGTTTTGTACTGTGCCAGACTCCATAGCCTCCCTCTAGGACTGGAGCTGTTACGTTGGGTACTAAAATGTGTGAAGTGAAAACATAACCTGTAATTTTAGAAGGCTCCCTGCCTAAGAACAAGAGTGGGAAGAACGGAAAAGAAAGGAGATAGAGGGAGTTATGACTGAAATTTTGTTGTTGAAAGCATGAGTTTCAGGAGTCATCTGTGAACCAGTAAGGATATTCCTGGGTACACAAGAGACAAGGCAGGGCACGGCATCATCCTCACATCATAAGAAATTCTTCTCTCTTTTTTTTTTTTTCCCTCAGAAGCCAAATACAGCATCTGGGATTTCTGTTCAAAGATGAAAAGAGAGCTGAAGCTGCCAGGTTATGATAGTTTTCCACAGAAGTCAGACTCCTAACTGCTTTTATCCCAACAGGGCTGCATTATCACTTCCCTGCTTCACAATTTCAATTCTACTGTCTTCACGTCATCCTTTTCGCTGTGTGAACATTGCCTCTCTTGGAGAGACAGCATCCATCCGGGGGGAGGGGAGGAAACAAATATTGAAAAAAAAACAAAACCAACAACCAAAGAAACAGCAGCTGTTTGATTTTGCTCAGACACTAGCAGCATTTGCAGAAGTCCCTGAGGAAATGGCTGAGTGGGCTTGAATCAGTCAGAGCAGTCCAAGGAGAATGAACTTCATCACCTGGCCTTGCTGCTCATAACAGGGCAAGGACGCAGCACATGCTCCAGAGGAAGACAAAGTTCCCACACCTGCTGTTGCCTTCGGGGATGTGAAATGACCTTTACATTCCCTCAGGGTGAGCCACATCTCAGGCTGCCTCATATTGGTGTCCTTCAGTGCTTAATTTGTCCCCATTGTTCATCTGACCATTGCCATGGAAAGGTTTTTTTAGCATTTAGACTCTGTCGACTGTAATGAGATCACAGGGAGAACAGAAAAAGACCTAGTGAAAGATTATTGTCAGACCTAGGACAAAAATTTATCTTCCTTCCTAAAATCAGTATTTCACAGCCTCATCAGAAAGCAGTGCCGAGAACACATTTAATCCTCTTTGTAACAAACAGCCCAAGACCACTCTTAAACCACCCACAAAGAAAGACATGGTATCATCTTGATCAAAGTTGATAAAAGCCTTTGTTAATGTGGCAGGAACCAAGGAGCAAGTCTGGATATCATTACAGGGGGGACAAAATCCAGGAATATAAGGAGTTATGCTTTTGTTGCTACCAGGTGTCATGGAGCAGGTGAATGAAAGCAGATGTGTTCTACTTGTGGCTAAGGTGTCTTTGAAGGAGAGAGGGACTTCAGATTAGAGCAAATGCAAAATCCCATGTAACTCCAGTGCTGCTCTCCCCCTGCCTTTCTCAGGACCCTATAAAGGTGGTGGTAGCACAAATACAAGAGGCTGGCAGACCTGAAATTCAGCATCTGCAAAACCAGTGTTACACAAGGTATCTTTTCTTAGTGTAGCTCCAACACAGCATCCCAAGAATGGGACTAGCATTGTGCTGCTGATGAAACATGAGATACAGTATTTTTTCCTTCTACTGTGTAAGTTCAGTTTGCTTTGGGATGTCTATCAATTGTGTCTCTATCTATTAGTGTTCATTTGTGTCCTATAACTATTTATTCTTTGAGAAATTATCTGTTTACAGGTAAAAGTGTTTTGTTTATTTTTTCCTGGTGATTGGAAATAGTATTTTTTTATTATTGTGTTTAACTTTCTCTTTCCCTAATCCACCTTCAGGTATCTCCATGCCTGTACCTGTCTTTGGACTACAAGATGATTCCAAAGTGTTTAAGAAAGACAGCTGCCTACTTGCAGATGAGTATTTTGTCCTAATAGGCTCTTTTGTGGCATTCTTTATCCCTCTAACGATCATGGTGGTCACCTACTTTTTAACTATCAAGTTGCTGCAGAAGGAAGCCACGCTATGCGTGAATGACATTGGCCCAAAGACCAAATTTGCTTCATTTAGCTTCCTCCCTCAGAGTTCTCTGTCCTCAGAGAAACTCTTTCAGCGTTCTTTGAACAGAGACATGGGAACTTCTGGAAGAAGAACCATGCAATCCATCAGCAACGAGCAGAAGGCTTCCAAGGTTCTTGGCATTGTCTTCTTTCTGTTTGTTGTGATGTGGTGCCCGTTTTTCATCACCAATGTGATGGCCGTAATTTGCAAGGAGTCATGCAATCAAAAAGTCGTTGGAGAACTACTTAATGTATTTGTTTGGATTGGCTACCTTTCTTCAGCTGTCAACCCACTCGTATACACATTGTTCAATAAAACCTACCGCTCAGCTTTCTCTCGTTACATTCAGTGTCGCTACAAGGAGGAGAAGAAACCCTTCCAGCTGATTTTAGTGAACACTATCCCAGCACTTGCATATAATTCCAGCCAGCTCCATCTAGCTCAAATGAAGAGTTTGAAAAATGAGGCAAAAATGATGGCTAAGGACTATTCGATGGTCACGATAGGAATACATCATTTGGATGGTACCTCCAAGGGAAATATTAGCCCAGCAAACGAAAAGGTTAGCGGTGTGTGACAGTTGGCAGCTGCCATGACAACCACCATGCACACTCTGGGAGCTTCACCTGGCTGTGAGAAGCTCTAATAGCTGAAGAAAATCAGTCCTGTTCAAGAGACCCACCAAGAACATCACATACTCCTCACATTATCCTGTGGATGAAAAGCAGGGCTGGAATGGTATCAGATGTGCAATTTCTTTTCATACAGTACTTTGGCTGTTTTAAGCACAGGCTTTATTAAACTTATTTTTTTAATATTCTAAAGGATATATTTCTTAAAGAAAAAAATGCAATTTCTTGTATTATAACATGGGCTGTGAAGAAAACCTAAGCTTTTCTTTTTGCAAATGAAAGCTAAGCTGTCCTTTGATGTTCTCGCAGAGTAGGCTCCAGCTAGTTTGTGTTGCTACAATGGAACTTTGTTATCATTAACTGAATGAGCACTTTATAGAATTTTAAATAAAATGATAGTTAATTTGCTAATATATATTTAAAATAAATTTTGAAGTATTAAAGAAAAAATCTATTAAAACCTGTATAGATTAATGATATGGACATTTTGGTAACAGTGTTTTTATGGCCGTTTTTTTCTTCTGAGTGGCCATTATAAAATGTCACTGGGATTTCTGCCATTTGCTCTACAGTTCAGAGGTAAATTATACTTGAATGATCCTTTGTTTCTACCACCATTCATGATCTTTATTTCATATCTTGTACTTTATTTCCATTCAAAAAATTTCATCTGTTCAGTTTACAACTTGAAATTGTTTTTTTCAAAAGTAATTATTTGGCTTGATTTCATGTTCCTTCCCACCAGTGTTGACAGGAAAATGAAGTGAGAGAAGAGTGGAAAATCAGGGGCAACACTGCTAAATAATTTCAGGCGGGGGGTTAGAACTAGATGATCTTAAGGTCCTTTCCAACCCTAACTATTCTATGATTCTATGATTGCAAATCCATGCCTATGTTTGATTTCAACAGAGTCTGATATAAGTAATGTCAGTGGATGTTTTGCTTGAGTAAAGCCTCCAGCAAAATTTGCAGCAGATCCTTTCTCATCATTTCTCTTTGGTTAAAAAAGCCATTCTGAAGAATGTCCTTCTAGTTTTGTTTTAGGGCTTGTAGAGCCAGAGTTATTAGAAACTGTTGGATGCTCAAAATTGTTTTACCTGGTTTCACTGTTTTGCTGTTACCGTAGATTGCTCAGGAATGGTAGGTAGCTTGCACTATTAGGACTAGCCTTAATTAAATACATATGGGCAAATGGGGCCCACTTGAGAAAGAACACGACTTGTAACTGGCACTCTATTTCACCTGCCTAACTCCAAGGGCAGAATGCATTACATAAAGAACATCAAACACATTTCTTGAGAGAAATGCCTGGTCATGAAACTGTTTCCTTTCAGGCATCACAGACAATTACACAGAAGCCAGCAGGATGCTGCTGGAGAGCAGAAATATAAATGTTCCATCCACCTGCAAAACCTATATCCAAGCATTTTATTTGTTCCATGGATTTTGCAGCTAAAATTATCAGAAGCAGGATGTATTCCAATTTCGGATCCTGTCCACTCTGAAAAAATACTGCCTACCCAGAAGCCAAACTCCAATGCCTTCATCAGCCCTTCCCTTGAAACTGTTCAGCTTTCATAGACAAATTAAATTTCCACTAAGGCAAAGAGAGAGACAAACTGAATCTGATTACAGCATGCTAGCTGGGGGTCTCTGGGAGAGGAAGATTTCTAGCTTAAACTACTGATCTGTGGTAGAAAAGTACTTAAAATGTGTCTGGGTATTTGGCTGATTTCCAAGAAACTGCTGTTATTGTTCTTATGCCAGTATGTTAACTAAATCTGTCACTTTTATGAGCCATTTCGTCCAGTGCGGGATAGGTCAGAGCCACTGTGCACAAGTCACATGGGAGCTTTGCATGCACATGGTGACACTGATTCACACCACAGCCCTCAGCTTCCCCGCCTGGGTCAGTGTGTTGTGCTATAGCCCCACTGTGGTGATGTGTCATGCGTCAGCTTATGCCCAGTTATGGTTTTCCCCCCAAAACTGCTAATTTAGGATGGCCTGATAAATCAAGTGGTATAAATGCTGTGCTCACCAACATGGCTTATACAGTCTCTCTGGCTCTGGGCACACTTGATCACCCCAGTCCAGCTGAACAGCTTCAGCAGGGAAAAATGAATTCACTGCTCCTACCTCTCTATGCATACCTTGCTCCCACACATTGTCGTGTGAGGGGTGCCCAGAAGTGATTGCACAGAAAGGACTTCAGGGGGAATCTGATAAATGCAGCTGAGCATGAGAACCACTGTAACAGTAGATATGGGGTTTGAACTAAGGACAATGGCCAGCTCACATAACACATGCCAGCCAGGCAAGGGTTGGAGCACTGATGAAACACACATGATGCAGGGCATCCAAGATACAGGGTATTCACCTCCTGGTGTCCAGATGTCTCCTCTCCACAACGGGAGTGATGGTTTTGAGGATCTACCCTTGCGATCAGGCACCTCAGGAAAGAAGGCAGCAGTAACAAAACCAAAGGTCTTTTCGTGAGTAGAGGTCTGAGGCTCAGGATCCGCCACCAAACCGGACTGGATTCATGTCATGAGTACTGACACAGGATCAAAGGTCTATAACTGTGTTTGAGGGGAAAGGAAACACAGATGCTTCCACCACTGGTGGGAATTGCCATTTTTGTGTGCAATTTGTGCCCACCTTGATGCAAGTGTGTCTGGCCCTACAAGAGTAAAAAGCCAATGGGATAGACAGCTCAGGTTCTGTTGTCCATTAGTGCCATGAAACAGAGCCTGCCTGCATACAGTGTGGTGTATACGACACCCTGAACTTCTCCAAAGCTCAGTTCCTCCCCAGACTCCTGAGGGCCTAGTTGCTGGTCTCCTTCACCAGCTTGAGCTTGATAAACTGAGCATTTAACATTAACTGCTTATGCTCTCTGCTTACCGTCTGCATTTTGCCCACGTGGAAGAGTAAATCAGCCCCCTTGTTTCTTCTTCATTTCACCTTCTGTTCCTCTTTCACAATGTCAAATTGCTCAGGTTGCAAATACTGACAGGGAACATTTCACTACAAAGACGGTTTCAATTACTTGCTTGATGTTTCATGAGAAGATGACTTTGAACAATAACTTTTTTCCAGCTTATTAAAATAAAACCAATGGTTTGGACCCAAGAGACTAGACAGCACTTCTTTAATTGACAGCTGGAGGTAGGATAACACTTATTTTTGGCTCGGAAGCAGGGATATCTGATGCCTGACATTTTAATTCTGTGAGCACTCAGATAGGTGGTTTTATTGAATGGTCAGCAGATTTTGCCTGAGAAGCTTCTCAAAGCCAGGAATGCACAGCAGATAAAGACCAATATCTCCAGCTCTTTATGGACATCTTAGATAGTTTAGCAAGGCCTGATTCTGCCACCTTGCACCAAAATGTTAACAGATTTTTGTGTGTGTGGTTTGCCTTATTGAGAATGACAGAGACAGTGTCTGAATTTGTGAATTTGTTCTACCCACCATGCCAGATCTGCGGGATGTTGTTCATCAGTAGATAGCAATTAATAGAGTCATTATACTGCAGAGAGATGATGAAGTTCAGCCGTTTTAAATGAGATTTTCTAGCACTGGGCCCACACCTGGGATGAACACTACAGTTTAGTATGACCAGCTCCAGAGCAACACTTTCATCTTTCAAAAAAAAAAGGTTTCATTATGCATCAGACTAGGAGACTTTTGTAATTTTCCAGGCAAAAAAAGACATTCACACAAACTAGCTCAGAGGTTAGGGCCTTCCTCTACCTTACAGGAAAAGCATGCTGAGTCAGTCTGCTGTATCTGCATCCAAAAAATCCTCTTTGTCTGAAAAAAAAATATTTTAATCAACAATTTTTCAAGTAGAGTGACATTTTATTGCCGTTAAGATTGCATCTGAAAAATGTCCAAAGACATAGAGCTCACCATGTATCTCCTAAGCTGGTGTGCATCCTTTATACACTTCAGGGTAAAAAATCCTATGTATCTATCCCATCCAGCCAATCATGCACTGTACTTATGTAATTATTGCCAGATGGTGAGATGCATTCTATTTTGAATACCTGAATGTTTGCTTATGTAAATACATAGAGAAAAGCATTTGCTGTATTTTGTAATGTTAATGTAGAATGGTGTTTCAATGCTTTGTCGTTTTGTCAGATCCCACTGCTAGTAAAGCAGATTAAAATATTTAAATACCATCAGTTGTTTTATAAACTGGAGATTTGTCTGAAACAGTTATTTCGTTTGGTTTAATTTCTCCTACATATATTCACAGTACAATGTGTGCCGAAGGCTAAAGTACTTTAAAGTGTCTTGCTGGACAAAGAGAAAGACATATTGCAAAATCTAACTATCTCAGTAACCTGTCAAAAATGAGTGTCGTGGTTTAAACCCAGTCAGGTAACTTGTTCACTCACTCCCAGTGAGTGGTGCCAAGCTGACAACAATCGAGGTCCGTGTCCCCCCCCCACCGGGGTTCTCCCCCACTCCCGGAGGAACGGGGAGGAGGATCGAAAGAGTGCAACTCCCACGGGTTGAGACAAGAACAGTCCAGCAACCAATGTACACAAATCACCACCGCTACTATCAACTACAACAATGATAAGGGAAAATAACAAGGGAAGAGAATACGATACCACCGGCAGGGAAGACGAGTTCCACCCGGAAGCCCGTGTCCTTCCGGGTAACTCCCAGTCACGCCCCACCCCGGCCATGACATGCTGTGGTATGGAATACCTCCCTGGCTAGCCCGAGTCAGGCGCCCCATCTCTGCTTCCTCCCGGCTTCCCCTCCTCCCTGGCAGAGCATGAGCCTCACAAAGTCCTTGGTCAGGGTAAACATCACTCAGCAACAACTGAAAACATCAACTTCACCAACACTGTTCTCAGGCTGGAAGTCAAAACACAGCACTGCACCAGCTAGCACAAAGGAAAAAAAAAAACATGACTGCTACTGCTGAACCCAGGACATTATCCACCCCTTATTCCATACCATTCACGTCGTGCTCAGATCCCACATTTTCAATACACCATTGCTCTCCCATATATATACATCCATATACATACAGACCAAGAGGAAAAGATCATTTTCTTAGTGCATGGACCAATCCCTATAATGCTGCCGAGTCCATTCGGTCCATGATGTCCAAAGTTCATTCTCTGTTGGGATGATGGCTGGAGGGAAGTCAGGGCCAGTCGCTGGTGACCTGGAGACATCTAGTTGATGGGCTATAAAAGCATTACACAGCAGGCAACGGCATACAATTGAGTTCACTGGCTGTTTTCCCCTAAAATCAAATCCCCTTGAGGTATACATCGGACTTCCCCATCTTCCCGCATTACCCACCAAGTATATCCAGGTCCCTGAGCAAAAGCAATCCCACGAGTGGGTTTGCCTTTACCTGAAGCAGGAATAACCCAGACTGTCTTCCCTAACAAATTCTTCATATGCACCACGGGAACTTTGTCCCCCTCTACAATATGTAAAAGTTCTGACTGGGCTGGGCCAGCCCTGTTGGCAGATCCTCTGGTGTTGACCAACCAGGTGGCCTTTGGTAAGTGTGTATCCCAATGCTTGAAAGTTCCCGCACCCATTGCTCTCAGTGTAGTTTTTAACAGCCCATTGTACCGTTCGATTTTCCCAGAGGCTGGTGCATGGTAGGGGATGTGATATACCCACTCAATGCCATGCTCTTTGGCCCAAATATCTGTAAGGTTATTCCGGAAATGAGTCCCATTGTCTGACTCAATTCTCTCTGGGGTGCCGTGTCGCCACAAAATCTGTTTCTCAAGGCCCAGGATAGTGTTCCGGG